GTCCAGGAAAGAGAGTGCGTGACCAATCTGTTGGGTGCACGTCTGCAAGAGGGTGATTGTGTGTATCCCAGCGACCCAAGCACATGTCGAGTCCTCCAACACATCCACGGTGGTTGTCGACAACCACAAGCTATCAGAGATGGGTATGGGGGTCACAGTAAACAGAAGGGCATGCGCATACCTTCTCGTGGTGAGACCAGAATTCCACGGCATCTAAGACTCAAGGTTATGTGAAGGTGTTGTAAATCACTACTTGTTCTCACCTTTACTTCCAATATGGTCAGGGTGCCGCATACAAGCGATGTTGGGGTGTAAGGCCTCTAACGCGGCCTGCATTACTTAGAATAAATATCCTTCAAAGTAAATACGAAAATAAAAATGCAGACCTTTGTGTGCTTCGAGTTCATCGACATGGTTTGAGTGACCTGAATTGTGCCCAAGCGCTTAATAAGGATTGAATGATCCTTGACGAAACGGTACCTCTTTATAGACGACAACATATATTCTTACTCCTTCTCGAGCCTTACGTTGAAGCAATCGGTCTAGTCTCCATTCCGGATGATCAGCAGGTGGCCGTCTGGGCACAAAATACTTCAGCTATTCAGGCGCAACAGCCGTAGTTCAGATACTGACCGAAGGTATAACTCAGGTGTGAGCCACCAGTCCTGTGACAGTGCATGAGTCTCGAGCTAGCAAAAGCAATAATCTCCAAGATACACACCAATATAAAGATACACTCCTTTGCACTGTCCAATATCTCAGACAATGCATACATATAGTCATGACCATCAATGTGCCTGAAAGGTATCTGAACATCCGAATTGGCCATATGGATGAAAACATACCATTTAATAGCGTTGTCTGACCTCTGATCCGCAAAGCTATCAAAACGATGACTGGCATTGATCTGCGCTCGAATCTCATCGTCCAGTTTCTCCTCTGGCTTATCGTGACGTCCTGTCCAGCCAAAATAAGATATGGCGGTTAACGTTAAATGCTTCGCTCATCGTGCTCACTATCAGGATTGATGATTCCTGGGGTAATAAAATGATCATGAAGGTCGGGTCTTGATAGGAATAATTTTAACACACCGATGATCTGATCTCTTGTCCTTTCAATCCCCTCTGGAAGTCGCTCTGCGTAGTCTAAGACCTTGTCAAGGAAAGACATGGTAGAAATTGTTCAAACTCTTGCTAGTGAACTTGACGAATTGTTATGATCACCCAAACACTTTTTATATCGGATAGTATAAAGGCGACTTTATATACTACGACTAGCGTGCGAATATTTACTGCGCGCGGCGTTGAACAGGACAGCCATGAATTGGCAGGATGAATGCTGGTTTCCCGGGCCACTGACATCGATCCAACGCTCACGGTATAGGTATAACTAATCTAGAAACCGAAAGACACGGGCATGTCGAAGGCAAGAGGTAAAAGAAGCGAGCGCAGCTGCCACGCTGATGTTCATAAAGGCAGGGTAGATAGCATTGAAAGGATTTACTCCATCCGAGTCTCCCCTTTCGTGCACAGCATTAATTAATAATGTAGAACTGCGGGTTCGGAGACGTTATGTCTGCCGAATGCGTGCGACCCGGCCTGAGCGCTGAGCGCTGAGCCCTATATGCAGCTGGACTATAAGTTCGGAGACGTATATCTGCCGAATGCGTGTGACCTGGTCCTGCCCTGGGCCCTGTAACTCTAGGACAGCCTATCAGGTACTCTGCAGTATGTAGGGAATCTCCCATACAAACTTAGATATAAGACTACATATAAGCGGGACAGTGGATACTATGGAGCAGCGAGGTAGTATATAGTGGATATCCTCAACTTGGGGTCCGTGCGCATGAAGTATAATCTCTCAATGGATCATACTGCCAGGAGCAGGTGAAGCGCTGAACATGTCGGAGCATTACATAATTATAATTATATAATTGTCACTCGAAGACCCAATTAAATATCGTCATATTCAAATTGACACTACCTCACAGCGTTCCCGCCCTTGTTGCACACAACATGCTAATCAAGGACGTTAACACTTGGACTCAAAAGGCAACATGGAAAGACAGGCTCACTCAAGTTTAACAGAAGAAGTCATTCATATCAACGTCCAGGACACAGCAGTTCTGGCAGGAACATGGCGTGTATGATATGATCGTGCCTCTAGGTCCGCAAAAAAACCCGAAATCGTTGTCGTCATTCCAACCTTTGATACCAGTCGAGCACTGTACTGTATCTGTGGGTAACCGTAAGTACGCAGTCCAAGGTCTGCACTTAGGCCGCAAGAGTGCTCACTGTCGGGGCCGCAGGGTAGGCCCATGGGTGTTATCACCAAGTCTTCAGATGCGATAGCTATTCCAGCCATTGCTGCGGCAGAAACGATAATAGTGGTGAGTGAAGTGAATTTCATGGTGGGGTAGTAAGGTTGTTTTTTGGACCGAAACACTCAAACGAGTAGAACAGCTTTTATACACAATTGGTGTATGGTGCAGCCAAGCACTTTCATCGTCGTATGTTCAGGGACAGACCCGATGCCAGCTCATGTTTCGTGGCATTGTCTTATTTTCTTCTATGCAGTGACACGCAAATAGATGGCTTCGCGCTAAGGTTTTACAAACGAATTTCTCTCAGTTCGCATACCTTAGCCGAATAGCCTGTGTTAGGAAGGTCACTGTCAACATTCATCTGTAAATTTTCCTATCATGACTTTTCTAAATCTTCCTCTCGCACAAAATGTCTGATTCAGGCAATGTTCTTCCTCTTTTTAGAAGTTTCCCTCCCGAGGCTCTTGAACAGATCTTTTTTCGTCATAGACAAGCTCCGATGCTTGCGTCTGACCACGTACGTTGTGCTCCGTCTGAATTTCCTCTCTGAAAGCACGAGTTCATCTTCCCATATCAATTCTCTCGGGGATGATTCTCACATCTCTCGCACTCATACACCTGCAAGTTTAGTTTCTGCAACTAGTGGAGATCACAATGTTGCAGCAAGCCGAATTTTTTCGGACGAGTAACAGGGGACGGTAGACTCCCACGCAGATTGATGATGGCTATCCGATCGCATCAGCAAACGCATTCCACGAGTTCTTTTGGTACGGGTGTATGGTCCAGCTCGATGGACTTGAGTCAATAACGATGATTTATTCACAATTTTTACAGGGCCGGTAATGTGGCAGACGCACCCACGGATAATATGTATCTGACATTTAATAATCATGCGAATTATGGGATCATCGCTAAACGTTGCTACGAGGTGGTAGGATACGCTCATGACATGATCTGATCGGCCTGAGTAGCCTGAATCTACGAATGACGTGTTGATCTTAACATACTATGATACTGCTCCGGTCAAGAAATAAACTGGGTAGAATAAACTGGGGCTATAATATAGTCATGAATGACCAATTCTATTGGAAATTGTCCCACAAAAACACATACACAGGAGTGTTCTTCTGCTGCAGTCGTGCAATGGCAAGGCTGTCAGGTTCTTTAGCTGCAGACTAATGTTGCTTCAGTGGCGGGTGTCCGAGACGTTATCGTAAACGTGCCATGACGCATAATTGTACTGGAGACAAGTTACAACTTACAGGTAGCATCCTACGTGCGACGATGAGCGTTAAAAACATGCCCAGCAATCCATTATGTTTTCTTACTTGTTCCCCACGGCAATATATACTCCTTCGCGAAAATAAAATAAAATAAAATAAAATGAGCGAAGTACAATGGATTTGAGTGGGGCCAGAGTAGGCAGGCCAGTAGTTACAGTGTTATGTATAGCTGAGTTGTGGACACTTGGATAAAGCGGAAAATAGCACGCTCGTCGTGTATTGTGTGGGTTATGTCATAAACAAGCATTGCCTGTAGTGGACAAGTTATGAGCCGTTACTAGCGAGGATTATGAAAACCAAATTAGGAGGCGAGGCTTATTCAAATTTTCGAGACTGACGACTTGGTTCTGGCGATGCAGTAACTTGATCTTACTGCACGCCTTGCAAACCAATGAGTACGTGAGTAACGTTGATGTACCAGCTGGTACCAGCTTAGTTAGCATTCGGACTCCGAGTTTTATCTTGACCAAATGGACTACGGCGTAAGCGGGGTATGGGTTCGGTTAACAAGGTATCATGACGGACACTAGATAGACACATGTAAGCGAGCATAGTGATGGGGTTGATGGGACGCACCAAGTGGTTGGCATGCTTTTGAAGTTTGGATTCGAATTACTATTTCGATTTGAAACGTAGAATTCAATTAGTGCTGCGGGTTGGCTCATCTTGACACTCTTCGCGATACATAGGCTCGTATGATCTTCATGTGCGCACCTTGAAATGTGTCGTTGCCCTGATCTTGGAAAAGTTATGTTCCGAAGCAGTATATCAGCGAAGTTGACAAACTCGTTCATGGGCACGTTCTTCTGCAGTTATGGTCCCTGGAATGATGAGCATCGCCTGTGGCGTTTAAAAGCGCTGTGCTACAATTATCTGGTGACAACGGGTGTTGGAAGGAGGAACCAATGGAGATATAAGCCTTGCGAAAAATGTGAAAACACATTTGTACCAGGGTAGTCTGGAGCAGGTTATCAGGAGTTCAGACTCGTAGTCAGTAGTATAGCAATTGTCCTGGCACAGTGGCGGAAGTCCTTGCTCGTACTCGGTAGTCCTGCGCTTGTGTTGTAGTTCTCGATAGATAGAGCTGTAGCCTCCCGCTATAGAGGTTAGGCCCTGGCTTTCTTCGCAGTCTACACGTGTATTTCGATTGCCGCACGCAGTAACGAAGTTATAAGACGCAAGGAGAACTGGTTATGCAAGCTTGAAAAATAACATCTTTAGTAATGCTGAGAGGTCCTGACATGTTGCTACTGGAGAACGATAAGAACAAAGGAGTATCACGTTGGCGTCGAGTCAAACTGCATCAGTGACTGTTTATGATAATTATTTAGCTTTTCGCACGGGTGTATCGGAATCGTTGTGGAACACCACAACCACAAAATTGTCATTGGAGAGTGACCTTGTACGACCAAGGTAATTAATATTGATTCTACATCACAGATGTCCTTTACGCCCAGGCTGTTAATCAATCACATTAGCACTCGGACTCGAAAGGCAGCAGCGAAAGACAGAACCTCATGATGACAGACGAAACCATTTCCATGATCAATCACGGTACAGCAGTCTTTACAGTCGCATGGTGTGACTGATAGGATCGTGCCTGTAGAGCTGCAGTAAAACCCGAAATCATTCTTGTTGTTCCAACCTTTGGAGTCCGCCGAGCACTGCACTGGATCTGTGGATAAACCGTAAGTACGTAGGCAGCAAGAGTGCTCACACTTGGAGTTGCAGGATTGGCCCACGGGTGTTACTGTCATGTCTTCGGATTCGATAGCTACTCCAGCCATTGCTGTGGCAGAAATGACAATGGTGGTGAGTGAAGTAAATTTCATGGTGGAGTTGTCTGAGCCGAAACGAGTAGAGTGACTTTTATACACAATTAGTGTATGGTGCAGCAAAGCACTTTTATTGTCGTATGCTCAGGGACAAACCGGATACCGCCTCATGCTCTGCGGCATTCCTTCACTTTCTTTTACGCAGTGACACGCAAATGAGTGACCAGACCGGGCTAATGTTGTGGGAAGAACTATTCTAAGGTAGTCCTGGCGGCAGAACCTGGCAGAACCATGTTTTGCGAAGATCGTGCTACCACTCGACAGCAACATAGAATCTTCCCATCTTCGTTTCGAGTGCTTTTTCTTATAAAAATTCCTTTCCATTTATGTCCCAGTCTGAGGCAAACTCCATGTCCATCACTTTTTCTGCGTTACGAATATCTTTGAGTCGAGCAACCTCGGCATCAATCTCATCAAGCAAGATCGATTTAGGACCATTCTCACCGGAGAGACTGCTGTGAAGGAACAAAATGCAAAGTCGATCTGGGCTGCTTGGCAATCTCTGTATAACTGCCTGAAAGTTTGTTTGTATGTATGTGAGCGACGAGCGTGACATTGCGCTGACTTGCTATTCCCAAGGTGGATATATGATACCGAAGGCTAGCACGTGAGGTGCTCGAAACATCAATGCGCGCTCAGAGCTCGGACTTCGTAGCCGTTTTAGAGAGTCTTAAAGCTTCTCAATTGATGCTATCATACACTGAACTGGTTCTGCATATGCAGGAGTCCTGCTACATTATGTCTCGGAGGTTCTGCCCTGCCACGTGGCAGAATGGCAGAGCTCTGCCTACAACACTACCCGCCCCTAGTCCTCGTCCGGTTCCCGGAAGTTGCGTCACATCAAAGCACGAGCAATTGCCTATGTAAGACCCTGAGGAGCCCTTAGCGCTGACCTTTATTATATTCTGTCTTGCCTCCACGACCAACACGAATGCTACGTCCGCTGCTTGCTAAATATCAATGTCTATCGTTGACCTGCTAACCCTCTGGCCTCTTCATTCGTCCCTTCAGCATTAACCAAACGAACACTTCCATGTCACCGTCTGTTATGAAGAATCGTCGAAATACTTATACCATTACAGCGCACATCACACCCCTAATACAAACTGCACTGCCGGGCATTGTGTCATTCATCCTCTACTACTCCACAGGACTACTGGTGTTCAAGACGTTGTCGTCAACGTGCCGTGACACATCGGTTAGATTATGATTATGTAATATCAGTCTAGCCAGACTCAGTGCCAAATTGACTAGGTCACAGCGTTCCCGGCCAGTCTTGTGCTTACTAGACAAGCAAATTAACACTCGGACTCCAGAGGCATCATGGGAAGACAAGCTCACATCCTTGCACTCGTAGCCCTGTTTATTATGACTCACTTTACAACAGTTGTGGCAGGAGCATGGCATGTCTCTTTCGATCGTCAGGGAATCCCCGTAGTAAAACGCGAAATCGTAGTTGTCGTTGTAACTTGGGTAGCCCTTCGAGCATTGTACTGTACCTGTGGATAAACCGTAAGTACACGGTCTGAGGTCTGCACGTAGGCCGCAAGAGTGCTCACCCTTGGGGCTACAGGGTAGGCCCTCAGGAGGGCCCTGGGGAGTTATGATAATGGAGTCTTCAGATGCGATAGCTATTCCAGCCATTGATGCGGCAGAAATAACAATAGTGGTGAGTGAAGTGAATTTCATGGTGGAGTATTGATGGTGTTTTCTAGGCTGAAACGAGGACGGCTTTTGATTTGTGTATGGTGCAGCCAAAACTTTTTCATTGTCGTATGCTCAGGGACAAACTGTATGCCGTCTCATTCTCCGTGAGTCCGTGGTATTTTTTTTTCATGTAGGGACACGCAAATGGGTGACTTCCCGGTAACGTTTGCAGAGGAATTTCTCTTCATCCTCATCTCTTAATCAAATTGCTGAGTTTGGTCCAGAACCTAGGTTCGAGGACATCTCGATCCCAGAATATCTGGCCCATCTAGTGCTGGGGGCAGAATTGTTTGCAAGTAATTGTGCCGGCATAACCGGCAGAAGCGGCAGAACCACCACTTCTGTCGCTCGGCAGAATTTTCAAAGCGCTACAAGGCTTAGTGTTGTGGGCAGAAGTCCGCCATTCTGCCAACTGGTTCTGCCAAACTGGTTCTGCCCGGCAGATGGCAGAATTCTGCGGGCAGAATCTGGCAGAATGTCAAACTACTGAGACGGACATCCTCTGAAGGCACTTGCAATCACCCTCTTATCCATTGTTCCACATGCTGCTGACGTCGAACACCTCTTCTCAGATATGGGTAGCACTCAGTCTCCGAAGCGCTGCAATCTCTCGGTAGACACATTTGAAGCACTGGCAAAGATTTGAGCGAATCTTCGCTACCACAGTCATCAGAAGGCTGTGGTTGATGGCAAGTCAATTTGCTGATGCCACGCACACATGCACACCAATGCCCAGCCAGGAATCAACATTGATGTAGCTGCTGACCTCGAAGCTAATTTTGCATGGGCGCCACCACTCGCACCTCAAACTCAGAACATTGATGATGATCTTGCAGGTCCTGAATCCATATCACTTGACGAGATCGACACTGCATTTGCGCTACTGGAACGTGACGCCATGGAATAAGAGCCGGTTTACGGAAATGAAGTGTTGGAGGGCCGAGTTTATGATTTCGTGGAATTGGAGCATGTTGACCAAGGTCTTGCACTGAAATCTGTTGACAACGAGATCATATTAGTTGATGACACCTCACACAATGATGGACAGTGGGATGTGGACGTGCTGATGTCTTCCAATGGTGTTTCCTAGTGATATTGTCATAAACATAGCCTTGTTAGTGCTGGGGGCAGAATTGTTTGCAAGTAATTGTGCCAGCATAACCGGCAGAAGCGGCAGAACCACCACTTCTGCCACTTGGCAGAATTTTCAAAGCGCTACAAGGCTATGTTTATGACAATATCACTAGGAAACACCATTGGAAGACATCAGCACGTCCACATCCCACTGTCCATCATTGTGTGAGGTGTCATCAACTAATATGATCTCGTTGTCAACAGATTTCAGTGCAAGACCTTGGTCAACATGCTCCAATTCCACGAAATCATAAACTCGGCCCTCCAACACTTCATTTCCGTCAACCGGCTCTTATTCCATGGCGTCACGTTCCAGTAGCGTGGCATCAGCAAATTGACTTGCCATCAACCACAGCCTTCTGATGACTGTGGTAGCGAAGATTCGCTCAAATCTTTGCCAGTGCTTCAAATGTGTCTACCGAGAGATTGCAGCGCTTCGGAGACTGAGTGCTACCCATATCTGAGAAGAGGTGTTCGACGTCAGCAGCATGTGGAACAATGGATAAGAGGGTGATTGCAAGTGCCTTCAGAGGATGTCCGTCTCAGTAGTTTGACATTCTGCCAGATTCTGCCCGCAGAATTCTGCCATCTGCCGGGCAGAACCAGTTGGCAGAATGGTGGACTTCTGCCCACAACACTAGGCCCATCCGAACATCCAACCCATCCAACCCACTTACTCTCACAGTCATAACACACCATGTGACCCATAGCCTGCAAACGGTCGTGCATGTTGCCTGACATTATGACCATGGCTGCTACCCAGCCAGCGCTTGCAGTGCTGCAGATACTGCAGGCTGAACTCTCGCCTGGCTTGTTGCTGACATTCAGTAGCATATTCAGGTTCATGACCTTGGCAACAGCACTTAGGAACAACATTTTGCTCACCCAAACTGCATTGCACCCTTCCAATATCACTCCCGACTTTATCTCTCCTGCCATCAATCTGTTCTTGGCAGCCTGCTGCAATCTCTGTGAGAATGATGTCTGTGTGTACTGGAAAGCTCTCAAAGATATTGTGTGGCACAGTGATGGAGACATTTTTGGTATTGAGGACACATCCCCCTTGTTTGTGAATATGGTCGACAACATGGAATCAGTGCGTATTGTGATTTTGTACAAGGACAACTACTGAGAGCATCAATAGCATGGCTGAGCACTTTATCCTCCTCACCAGACATGCCTGACTGAAGGTTGTCCTATTCCTGCAAAGGCTACTGTCCTCAAGAAAGCTGAGCAACGGCACATCGTTCTCTATACACTGGACCATGGCCCAATTGCTACATATTCTATCCACCTTTACTGCGCAGGTATGTCTTATTATTTGTGATCATTGCCCTCATATTGAGGCACTTGTGACAGGGTGCAACACCAATTACCACCATGGGTATAGCATCAAAGACAAGATTCGTACATTCTACCCTGGCATTCCTGATATCATACAAGTCAGTGGGCATCAGTTTGTGGAGACTAGGGTTGTGCAGATGTGGCGCACACTGATGCTTGTCTGATGGTGAGTACATGATGTCCAGCTGACTATTTTCTCTGATGGAAGCTTTTTTGTGCATCACAGGACATCAATGTCCAACTGCGCACAACTATATAACATAGCATTGAGGCAGAATGTGAAACCTCCTGACTTTCCATGGAACTTTGAACTTACGGGAGATCATGTTTGGCATGGTTTTGTGCAGCTCGTTCTCATGGAAGACTGCATTGAGCGTCACACAATATTATCTGTTCCTCAAGATGGCGACCAGAAAGCACATTTTATGGATGCCATCAGCGAGTGCAACAACCGCATTCGAACCTATGGTCAAGAAGAATTCTGCCACTACTGTAATAAATGCACTCGCTTTCATAGGGATGACTCAGGTACGCTCACTTCAAAATATTTGGTCGTTGTTACTGATGGTGTTACCGTCAGGCACCCATGCTGTGCCATCTACAACTGCCATGCACCTCTCAACAACAACCGTGATCACTTCTGCCCAGCTCACACTGCAACGCATGGATGCAAATGTGTGATCATTGCTTGCTCTAACGATGCTCTTGTGAAGAGCAAGGTGTGTCATCTATCTGAGCATCAAGCTGTGGAATGCACATACCAACTGCATGGACAAAGTTGTTTCCAGCTCCAGCAACACCTCCAGTGCTCCCAGCTTGCACATCCCACCCACTCTATTGCACAAGATGTCCCATTTGATGACCTTGTCGACGATGCTCCTCTTGAGGAGGACTACATGCTGAACATTGATGCCAATGGGCGCATGCAAGCCACTGTAGCACCAGACTTGGGGACAACTACTATTACTGATGGACACGAGTTGTCTCCTCCTGCAGGCAGGAAAATTCGCGCACGATTTGGACGCCGACGTACTCACAACTGAGCAGCTTGTTGTTGCTTCATGTGGGATGATCTTGGCAAGGGAGACATTCTATGGGGCAGAGGGTGTTGGCAGTGTGATCGTTCATGGGGAACTGTCTATGCTGATGATCTGCTGACTGCTTTCTACAGGGAAATGATCAAGCGTGTATTCCGTACTGATGATATCAAGCCCCAACACATCTTCTATGATAATAATTGCACAACAAATATTTTCACCTTTCAAGGCTCTTTGGAGATGAGTTTCTTTGCCATTTCCGCATAATCAGCTTGGTTGTCAACATCCATTGCTTTGGCACATCTATAAACAACCACTGTGAGATAAGTTTAATTTCTATGAATAATACAAAGATCACTTGCCCACGAGAATTGCCAAGGAGGTACTTGAAAGTGTATTTCTTCCTCTCAGTGATCCTATAGTGTGATTTGTTGTGCTTCATGAGAATTGTTGTCAGAAATTCAATGTAGTTGGGCTCAGAGACTTGAAAGACCAGTTCCTTGACTTTTGTAGATTTCACTTCCTTGGTTTTTGCTTTGCCATTATTTGCAGTAGTAGTCTTGGTGTATGTATCAAGGTAAATAATGAATGTTGCCGTGAATCCAGGTGTCTCTGGGGAGGAATCTGATGGCGACGACATTGTCTTTCAGTGAATTGCATATACTACACTAGCGCTACTACAAATCTCGTGGTCATGTGCTTACAGGGTCCTTGTTCAGACTGTTTCCGATGCTCAAGTTTTGATTTTGTGATTCTGCATATGGATGCTCAATTCTAAAATGTCATTGTTGTTTGTCGTCCAAACACTGGTACAGCGCTGATTGCCGATGCTAACTAATCCTAATTTGGGACCAGTCAGTGGCAGTCTCCTGCCGCTTGGCCGGAACACCGCGCTATCAACCTTTATGGAATCGATGTCCAGCAGTTCACTGTGCAGCATCAAATTATCATCAACATGCCTCATGCGCAGTGACAAAAACACCATTATAGGGACATGATTCTATTACATTCTATCCTAGCCAGTACACTGGCTGTATCCAAGCAGTCACAACACAATTTTGACCAGGACTTTTCCCATGACCATGAAGACTTTGATGACGAAGCCAACCAAAGGATATCCCGCTTCTTCCATGGGACAAGTATTGGCCTTTGCGCACTATCATTAATGCTATCTGGACCCGGTTCCCATGGTCCCTACAATCAGTGGCTGAAGTGTGAAGAATTCTTCAATATATCATTGAGCTAGCCAGATTGGGATTTTTGCCATGAATATCGGTGAATAATTTGGTTTTTGACCTTCCTGGAGTGCTGACATTCTATTATTATCAGCCGTGTTACTTTTGACCGCTTAGTACAGCTCTTAGAGCTGAATCCAACATTTGAATCAACGGGGAGGAAGCCGCAGCGGCCTGTCTGCTATCAACTCGCCTGTTTCCTCATGTGTTATGGAACTTGTGGTGCAAACCCCTCCAGGCTGTGCATAAACTTGGGATCGATTTTGGCACAGTTTTCCTCTATTGTTGACGTGTTGTGCGTGCTCTATGGGAGATTGGTATGCAGGTTGTCACTTGGGGTGATGAAGACCATCAAAACAAAATGATAACACAGATTTGGGACTGATCTGGAATTCTGGATTGTGTCGGGATGCTCGATGGCTCCCTGATTTGTCTGACTGAGATGCCAGAGCGAAATGACTTAACTTTTATTTGTCGAAAGAAATATCCTGCTGTGAGTAAATTTTCGATGCATAGTTTTGATTGACTCACTTCATACATAGATTAATATTCAAGCTGTTGTTGACCATGAGAAGCGCTTCACAGCAATTGAGCTAGGATGGCCTGGTTCAGTTTCGGATGTGACAATGTGGAAAAAGTCTTACGTCTGGCAACACAGGCTCAAATATTTCACCAACAATTCATTAGTTCTTGCTGATAAGAGTGTGTTGTGTCTTCGTGTCTTCTACTTTCTGTTTTTATGTGCTGATCCTGCTCCAGGTTATCCATCTTCACCATATGTACTCTGGCCATTCACTGAACCTGAGGTCAATGGGCAACCAGCCAATGAAAAAGCTCGTCGATGTAAATTCAACAAATGCTTGTCCTCGCAACGCATCATTGTCGAGCATACATTCGGCATTTTGAAGGGCTGTTTTCCTAGTCTCAAGGATCTGCCACCCGAGCAAGATATTTGAGACACTTACCATGTCGTCGAAGCTCTCATTACTCTGCATAACATGTGCATAGACTTGGATGACACTCCTCAGTTAATCCCTCTTTTTGATAATTGTGATCCTGACTCTGATGATTCCAAGGATGATGTGGCTGATGTTGATGTTTCTGGCTATGGTGGAGTTGTCAGAGATGATGAACTAGAGCTTCCTAGATGGGAATCAGATGAGTGGTTGAGGGAAGCTGGTTGTTGTTGTTGTCTCGCCATTCTAAACGATCTTTTCCCATTATGATATATAACAGCAATGATTACTGACCTGCAATAGAAAAGTAGTCCAATAACACTTGATGAGCTGTGTCCTTCACCTCATCTGGCATACCATCCATAGTCAAAATCTCTTGGGCATTCTTTGCCCTTGCCTCCCGTTCTGCCAGTGCCACCTCTGCTCGTCCCTTCTCTACCATAAAATCATGCTGCTTATCCTCTCGATCCTTGTGTTTTTTGAGCAACTTCAGCTGCTCGCCATCAGTATTTGCAGTTGCCTTCAGGAATTCAACATTGGACGAGAAAAAGTCAGCAGCTTTGATGCTGATGCTACTCTGTGAGGCCTTCTTTTTGTGACATTGTGCAGGCACCCCTTTTGACACTGACTTAGCCTTTATTTCAGTGGCTGATGAAGTTGATCTCTGCAGAGCTTTGCTATGTGCCTTCTTTGCCTTGACTTTGTGTTCTTCATCACTTGTGTCACTTGCGTCACTGCTGATCTCGAGTGCATCAGATATCATTCCAGAGCGGAATTCCTCCTCCCATACAAGTCCTGGATGTTCACCAAGTCTACCAATCCTCATAAGTATCATGCAGTCAAGCTACCAGTACTCACCAGTTGTTGAACAGCTCATACCATCCTGCTTCATACCATTTCTTCAACATAGCCCCTGATAAATTCCCAATATCCTTCCCCGAAATTCATGCATTTTCAATTTTCTCATTGAGCACTTCAATATCAGGATCCCCACCGCCATTGCCAGTGATAGACTCGAAATTCAGGATGTATGAAAATATCCTTTGTAAGCATTCATAATGTCCCCTTACTGACTCTGCACTGTGTCTTCCTTTGGATGTCTTTTCAGCAATCTATTTCAATGCAGCTTCAGCACCAAGCTAAGTAAGTATACTTCACATAACTGTTAACTTTTTATAGACATGCTTAGCATTGCCTGCAAGGCCTTCGTAAAACTCGCTGTCACCTCTGAGAAGGGCCTCGAGCAAAAGCTTGGTATCCTCAGTCTGACCAACAGCCATCTTCTTCGAGTCGAGTTATTGCTTGTTCCCTTCACCTTTGGTCTTCAACTTTGTACCTTTCCTGCTTTGATCCTTTCGTGGAGCGAGGCTGAGTTTGCTTGGTACCCTCACTAGGTTGAGTCAATGACTCGCCATTCTCTTTCTGTATCTTCTTTGTACTGTCTCTTGCTTCTGATAGGTCATTGCACTCTTCCTCACGTTCTCGTTTCTGTTGTAACCCAGCCGCCACTGGAAACTGTTGCAAGTTGAATGGGGGTGCTCTCCTGTCACTTGGTACATCATTCATTACTGGTAACATTGGTGGCTGTGAATTGACTTGGGGAACTCTCTTGTCGCCTAGTGCCTCATTTGCCTGACTGTAAAGTTCGAGCAACTGGTGAATGTGGGGTAGCTTCAGCTTGTCAGTATATCTCGAGCACTTTGGTCATGTTGAAGACTAACCTGTACACCACTAGATTGCTGGATATAAGGCTGAGCAGACCAGGAGAGTGGGGCATAGGCCTTGTCTCTTCGAACCCAGCTATTTTCATATTTGAAAATTAGCCATGTATGAGACTGGCAAAGAAGAATGTCCTACCGCTGAGTCCCATACCACTGATAATTCTCTTGCTGCTGGTAATAGGGCCTTAGGCTGTACATAGCTACTGCTGCCTGTGGCTGGTGACTACCTGTTGCAGTGGAATGTTGTCCTCCAAGTCTTCCACTTTGTGGTAAAATGCAACTGTGACCATGTGACGGGTTTGGCTGTTGATGCTGGCCTGGATTCTGAAACTGATGTAGATTGTCTTTGCTAGTATCATGACCAGCTGCATAGTAGCTCATTGTTCGGTGCTCAGCAAGAGTTGTCAACAGTCCATAGACCAAGAGACCAGCCGGGCTATCATCCGGGCTCAGGACCATTTGCAGAGGCGGAAATGAAGTACATTAATTGGTTGTGAACATAAATAACTCTAAATCCATGTGAAATGACAACAACATTTTAGAATTGAGCATCCCTCATAGTTTCAGAATCAGCTGTAAGGAGATCAAGGAATGTGAGAATTTCCTGATGTACCGTGGGAACATCGTCAAAGTGCTGCCAAGGGTGTTGCACCTTTGTACAGTGTATGTCACTCAAAAGCGGCAACTACTGACATCAAAACTTGTAATTCTATCTACACCTTCAGAAATCCCTCTTTCGTCTTGAAAACCTTACAGATGTGCTATGTTAGAGTAGTATAGTAAGTCTATCAGAATACTTTTTCAAAAAACTTAAGTTTCAAAATTTTCGCTAGCCAAAAGTGAATTCCGAGCGGAGCATGTCGGGGTTTCCTTTTTGGGTACTGACGGCCGACTCCGCGACTACTCGACAAGAACACCCAAATTCATCATCAATGTAGGACCGCACCGACGATGCGATTTGTATTTCTTCACGGCGAATTCAGCTTGACGCGCATCAAGACCTTTCCTGGGATACTGTGAGAAGGAGCTATGAAGCTGATTGAGTTACACACCTGTAAGCATCCATATATCTCCAAAATTTTCGATAAAATGCACGTATTGTCTTGATGGGGCATGCATTAAGAAGCTCTGGTACAATGCGCTTCGCGGTGAGGAATGTTCCATCAGATCGTACTCAGGCTCGTCATATCTACATCTTGTACTGACACGTTACAGTAGAGTGGCTTTTACACACAATTAGCGTATGGTGCAGCCAAGCACTTTTATTGTCGTATGCTCAGGGACAAGCCGGATGCCGCCTCATGCTCTGCGGCATTCCTTCACTTTCTTTTACGCAGTGACCAGACCGGGCTAGTAATGTTTTGTCTAATCGTCGAAATACTTATATCATTACAGCGCATATCACACCCCGAATACAAACTGCACTGCCGGGCATCCTCTACTACTCCACAGGAATACTGGCGTTCAAGACGTTGTCGTAAACGTGCCATGACACATCGGTCAGTCTTGATAACTTTAGATTATGATGACGTGATATCAATCGAGCCAGGACTCAGTGCCATATTCAAATTGATACTAGGTCACAGCTTTCCCGGCCAGAGCGTGAAATGCTAGACAAGCACATGAACACTCGAACTCCAGAGGCAGCATGGGAAGACAGGCTCACACCACCACAGGTGTAGCCCTGCTTATCAGGACTAATTTTACAACAGTAGTTGCAGTTGCATGGTATGTCTTGGATGATCGTCGATGTGTCCCCGCAGTAAAACGCGAAATCGTAGCCGTCGTTGTAACCTACAATGCCACTCGAGCATTGTAGTGTATCTGTGGATAAACTGTAAGTACGCGGTCTGAGGTCTGCACGTAGGCCGCAAGAGTGCTCACCCTTGGGGCGACAGGGTAGGCCCTCGGGTCTAAAGCTTAAGTCTTCAGATGCGATAGCTATTCCAGCCATTGATGCGGCAGAAATGACAATAGTGGTGAGTGAAGTGAATTTCATGGCGGAGTATTGATGGTGTTTTCTAGGCCGAAACGAGGAGCACGGCTTTTGTACACAATTTGTGTATGGTGCAACCAAACACTTGCATTTTCGTATGCTCAGGGAACAAATCGGATGCCACCTCATGCTCCGTGAGTCCGTGGCATTTTTTTCATGAAGTGACACGCAAATAGGCGGCTTCCCGGTAAGGTTTGCAGAGGACATCCTCATCTCTTAGTCGAATCGCTGAGCTGCGTTAGGACGATCGGTGTCAACCACGTGCTCACCCTTGGCACCACTTGTAAAAGGTACCAAAGGTTTTTCAGGGTAGGTTTCGTTGTAGGTGGTAACCTGCTTGAAAGCTTACCTCCACACGGAGGCCTTCTGTTCAAGACCGTCGTGTCCTAGTATTTCATAGAATATCCAGCGAGGAGGAGCCAGGAGATTGTTTTCCCACTCCTCGTGCCTCGCGAGCCATTCGCACTCGAGGCTCTGTAGGTGTCGTTTCTCACATGTTTTATACTTCATTCACAACTTCTAAATCAGTTTACTACTCCTCCTCACACCTCATCAGCAAAGCCTTTCCGTACAAGCCTAGAGCTATTTACACATCAGTAAAACCTTATTCCGACACGAATATTACTGCGACACAACAGAAAAATCCGGGTCCACGCAGGCAAGCAAGGTTAAATTCGGCAATGCCGAACCCTAGTCATAAATTTTGGTCCGTTCAGAACAATCTGCTAGCTCGGCAATCTCTCGTGCACTCTTACCATGTTCGTAGCGCCATGCCACGATGCATTCTCTGAACTGCGGGCTGAGGTGAGGAGCCATGGTGTGACGGGTCACAAATATCTTCTTAAAATGGACGAACAAGCCCGACCAAACACGTTTTTCTGCGCGAACGACTGCATTTTTTCATGCAAAGCACTCGGACTGGCTCGAAAGTTGAAAAGGTCGCTGAAACCAACCCTCCAGCTAAAACCTGTCCGGCGCAAAGTACGGCGCTACGGCGGATATATCCGCAGTCCGGCGGCAAAAAACGGCCAGGTAGCGGACTTTCAAAACACCTAGGTACGAATAAATAGTACGTGTTAATCTTACCACTGCTTATTATTTTTGTATAGACCCCGTATCTCAGCTACCGCCCTCCAATAGTCACTGTCCAGAGCCCCAGTGGGTGTGGGCTACCTCTGCCAGTAAAGTTCAAGCAGGGCGGTATCAAAGGAGAGGGTGGGTTGCTAGTAATAACTCATGGCTAGCTACTAGGGCTTTGGATATGGTGGGCAGTGTGACCAAAGTAACATGGTATTGTCATGTCAATAGTTGATAAATGTAATATCGGGTATTGGTGCTGTAGTTGAATGTCGAGGCCTCCAAGTATGTTTTCAATGCGCCCACCTCTTGATACAGCCCTTATGACATTCAAATAACACCCACCCACAGAATTAATACCGCTATAACCTCCTTGAACGTCAATTCATGTATCTCAGTGAAAATTGTCAAGTGTGATAACTTGACAAGTCTATTTTTTGCACCATCGTGAGTCCAAGTCACACTAGCTGTACTATGACCGGCCATCTGCGAAATACCCCTGCCAATGCCATCATGATCATGATACTATGCCATTCCAGTAGCGAGGATAACATCTTCTCCTGCGTTTCTCCGCAGATTTGAAGATGCGAGTTGTGACTCTTCATCGATGTCAACCATCACAGTTCTTTGCCTTTTTTGCTCTTGTTTTTTCTCGCGATCGCAAACAATATCGTGCGCGGCACAATCTCGCTACTGGACTCTGGGTAGCCATCAACATCAACATATTCACAACCCACCGTCCCTGGACCATGGACCCACTGGTAAAACGTTCAAGCCGTTGGGCATTACTACATCGTGGCTACATACGATCAAAAACCGTGACGTGCCTGTGGCGGCCCATATCAGTACTCAGGGTAGTTTCAAAGCGCGCTGCGCCATCGTAATTCCCGCAAGATCAAGGTTTCTCACTTGCACGCATCGGAAGGGCGTAATCACTTACTCATTCATCGGCAATTTCACCATCTTGTCGACATATGATGGCAGGATGTGTCCTACAAGAGAACATGGCAAGTTCCTGTTTACAGGTATTAGCGGCCTCATCATTAATATCATAGATATACTCCCACTCAAAAGCCACATCCCTCAAGAAAGAGTGGGAAGCCAAGCATGCTCTGAAAAGGGTCCCCGCGATCGATACTGGTATTGGCGAGGCGGTCGTAAAAAAGAACGAGCTTGACGACGCAGTAATCGCGTCGACTTGTCCACTCACCTGAAGACATTACTCCAACGAGTCTAATGATTAATCCTTTTTGTGTCTCCCATCACCTATGTGCAAGCGAACGCACGCACGCTGGTCGAGCCCATCCTCCTCTTTTTTCGCCGGCAAGACATAACTTGGTGCGGATCTCCGAACAGTTTCTATCACGGGGTCGATGTCCAACTAGAGCCTTGAGCGTCAATGAGCCTCGTACCAAGACACCAGTGACCTGCAGTGGATAATCCGGAGATGACTTGTATTTCGCACACCGATAAATCTATGTCGCCCTATTATAATTACCCAGTAACAACAGTGGTTAAGTTAAAAAAGACAAGAGAAAATAGAGTGGTAGATATAAATAATAATATAATCTGCTCAGATGACAACACAGCACAGTCACAACACAAATGATAAGGGATAAGGCGTTCACAAAGGAGCGTGGGCGCAGATAATGGTCAGATGACATTGAGCTCCTCAAGATGGTGGCGCAAAATGCCATCACGGACCCCGGCCAATACAGCCTGCGTCGCTTTGGTATCCTGTGCAAACCAGTGTGAGCCTGAGACAAGGAGAACCATCAAAAAGGCAACGCACAATGGCAGAGGTCTCATGACAGAAGAACGTCCGAGGTCTCGGGGACAGTCGTTTCTATGAAGTCCCAATCAGGATTTATGTCACATCAAAGCTCAAGACATGACCTACATGATAAGCTCGGAACTTCTCCTTAAAGTATTTCGTTACATTTTCCACGTCGTTGGGTGTGCTTCCAAAACTTGGCACGTAGGTTGCCACTTTGATCCCCGCCGCGAGAGTTTTCTGTAGAATGTCCATTTTGTTGAGAAACAGGATGATGTTCGCACGCGCGAGGAGAGGATTCGCGCAAACTTCTTTCCAGAGGTATATTGAGTCCTCTAGTCGGTTGACCTGTCGGTCTTCCTCGAGAACTTGGTTGAATGACAGGGGCGCAAGGAAGATGATAGCTTGAACTACAATCGACGTTAATAACCGTACCTTCAGGTATGTCATCGAAACTTACCGTCATCAAAGTATGGCACCCACTGGGGTCGCATACATCTGCTGCCACCAACATCGTAAATGTACCACTCCGAACCTGTTTACACGGGTCATGAAACTGGGAAAGGTAAGAGTAGGACCACACACCATTAGATTCTTGTAGGAAGCGATGTTCCTCTACACCAAATGTTCGTAATCTAGCACGGACGATATGCTCTATGATAGGGTGAGGGTGAGGAACAGCATATCTCAAGGATGTAACAAACCTTCCGTAGGCTCGTAGTCCACCGTTGCGATTCTTGCCGTGTCGTTCAGAAAAAAACCAGGAGAATCTTCTAGTCGAACCCCACGTCGCCTGAGTACTTCCCGGACGCTCTCATCTTCCCACAAGGAAATGATATCATTCTTGGACGCAGCAAGCACCAAAGTCGGATCATCCTTGCTTCGTCCATCATTCGTCATTGGGCGACGCTGACCAGTGGGAAGGGCCCGTCGTTCTAATGTAACTTTCTCCAAAACGGTTTTCCATCCGCTACCAGCCCGCACGCATATCTCAGGCGTTCTTAAGGGGTCGTAGTGTTCAGGGAGCAATTGTCGCGTGAGATTTGTCTCCATTGACAACAGGGGAAGAAGGCGCATTCGTGTACGCCGGTGGTTATCAGAAAGTGATGATGATGTAGATCCGGTAGGGGACCGAGAACGTGGACCTGATATCTCTAGCTCATCCTCGACGATCGAGAGAAGTTTTTTGACAGAACTAAGGTTTCCCAGTATCAGATGCAAGTATTTTGGGCCCTGGGTAAGACGATGCCACTCACCCAATGAGGTTAAGTTGTATGATGGTCTTCCATATGAGTGCTTCGCCATGGAAGTAAGTCGGACAAAACGCGAGCTGGAAATCTGTGGCAATACGTTATTAAATTCAAGCCCACGACTGAGGTGCAAAACTGCACTCACTTCGTAACATTGTTGATTTCCCGGACTCGGCTTGTCCTGATGAGAGTGATGTCGGTGTCAGTGCTGCTATCTGAGGACGACTATCAAAACACGGATACCTAGTAGTAAGACCTTGATAGCTTTCTTCTTCTTATCGAGCAACTTTTTTGACTCCAGGATACCTTCGTCTATTTCCCGAGAGACACGCTGAGCTTCCTGCTGGCGGGCGATACGCTCTCGTTTCTCTTCGGCGGTCTCGTTGGGAGGTGGTTTGAATATGTTTGACCAGGCATCGTCTTGTACGGGCTTCAAGTTAACTGGAGAGAACCTGTCGAGAGAAGACCGAGAATGCGATTTCGTTTGAGCCATGGAAGAAGAGAATGAAGAAAGAGCAAAGCAGTGCTGTTGAGCAGTACCGGGCGCTGACAAGCGCTAGCCCATTAAATCCAAAAGATCAATTGGGCCTGCCAAGATCTAATCCAGATATTTCCTTTTAAGAATCCGGAGTCTTCACCAAATGAGGAAGTAATAATGCGCCGACTACCTAATTTGTACCCCGATGAATAATCAAAAATTAGACCTACATCATAGTGTACTCGTACAAATCCGACCGGACTAGCAGCCAATCACAATGTTCTGAAACATATGCTCTTGCTCTGCGGCTGCCGGACGTGACAGTCTAACTCTAGTGCCCTTGATACAAAGTTGCATGGCATGACAATGAAAACATATTGGCACTATTGTTCTACCGGTTAGTCATACGTTGAAGGGTACTACGTTGAGCCGCACTAACGCTGACAGGTTAGTGATCTGACAACGCGTATTAGTTTGCTCGACACGTTCCACACAAGGGCAGTTCGTTATATGAGAACGTCCTTCACTCCTTATTCGATGGTCCGAGCACAGACTTGGGCATCATCATCCCGATCTATGGTTCAAAGAACGATTGGCCACTTGGAGTTGAGGCTAAACATAGCGTCACGTACCACATAGTTTGGCATGTCCACCTAATAATAGTTAGCGTTTCAACCCGAAGACCTGCAGAGCGCCCACATACCACTTCATGCATTCTCAGATCTCCCGCGACGCTACACAATATATACGCTTCCACCCTATCCAAGCCATATTCTGCGACCAGAAAAGTAATCATGTTCCTCACGGCTGATCTCATTGCCTCCCTGACATCTAATCGGAAAAACAAAAAGCCGCATCAATTATTCATTTCATCTTATCATCAAAGTACGTTTTCATACCCGAGTCAATGCCGGTGGTACAATAATACTCCCCGGGTGTATCAGCAGCAGTAACCGTGCTGAAATGTGGTGTCTTGGTGTATGGCTTGTCTTTCCTTACTGAGAGCCGCACCGTGACTTTCATGGGTGTCTCGATTGCCGATCCTAACGCCATGTTGTTGATCGAGGTCATCTCAAACTCAAGACCGATCTGACATACCACATACTTCTGTTGACGTAACACAATTTGATCAGTTTTATACAGGGCCGCCGGCTTCGGCACGCACCTCCGTCCCCCTGTGCAGCATGACCATCCTGAAACGTGACACGATAACAATTTTGTAAGCAAATCGACGCGTCAAGTTTGAACCAGTACTCTCACCCCAATGCTAAACAGTGCTCCCTCCACCTCAACTGGAAGAAACAGCGTAGAACCCACCGTAATATGCTTCGTATCAATATTTCCTCCAGTATGATATGGCGGAATAGTAGAAAAAGCACCCTTCTTCTTCTGCGCGACCCCCATCTCACCGGCAAACGGCCTCAGGGGTACTTTAATACCCTTCTTCTCATCAAACCACGCAAACCCCCCTGCATGCTCCAGTTTCCAGATCTTGAGCCCTGGTTCTGGGAACTCATCAGCAAGAAGTCCGAAGCCCGGGAACAGCCCTGTCCATCCCCATTCGGGATTCTCGATGCGAAGAACGTCAACTTGGAGCGTATCACCAGGCTGTGCACCATTCACAAACACGGGCCCGTTTACTGGATTAAATCCTGTCATGTTGATCGTTTTTAGAGTCTCGACTGTCGAATCTGCAGTTAACTGCCCATTCGATGCGTCAGGGCAATCGAAGGTGATTTCATCGCCTGATTTAACATGCAATGCAGGGGGAATGCTATGCGGGATCTGGATCAGCGTTCAAGTTTATGCGCAGATAGTGTCTTGTAGTACCTGTTGTCCCAAGCCAAGTTAGCACACTCGCGTCTCAAGGAATGAATCGACATGGTTGTTGTTATAGCGCAGATAAGATCAATGAGAGGTTGAGAATTCCAAGCTTGACGCAACGTCCATAAAATCAAAGCATTCACACGTACTAAATATACGATCCTTCGCACGTACTATATATACAACTCTTCTCAAAGATACATGTGTAGATCCGCATGCAACAGTCAAATTCATGATAGTGGTGGAGATGAGGTATCCGAAGTCGACCTTGAGAGCACAGACTCCCAAACCAAAGGTGGGTTATGCGCCAGGTCCGAACGCAGTCCAATCGATTGTGCGTGGTAATGGATCATACCTTGCAAAGCAGGTCAGGTCTGATACATGACGCATCGTCGGTCGTCCATGTGGACAGTTCCACGGCTGATCCATAGTGCTCATGTGCTGCACGATCTACGATATGGTCAGGGTCAAAGCGAATCTGCGAGATTGTGTTGCACACCATACCGAAGTCATCCCGTTCGTGCTCAATGCCTTTCCTATCATGACGCTTTTGCGACACGCTCGCATGGCAAACATGGCTCGCGCCTTGGAACACCTTACCATTGTTCCTACGGGACGGTCATGCATGAGATGGATAAGCTCCTCGAGATCTGTACATGGTCGTTAGCATAGACCCTTTATTAATCCACAACATCATGTCACACCTTTCATATCGAAAACCGTGTCCTTGCTCACTGGCTGTGCTATAAGATGCAGCCTGCCCTCATCGTCGTCATCACCACCCTGACGGGCAACTTCAAATCCATTCCGCTTCAGAACATCGATGTTTTCTGCTGCTAGAATCTCATCTGCAGCCGTCAACTCCAGAGGTTCGGGTCTTCACCGTGCCTTAGTCAGTTGTTCCATTGCGTCAGTGCACAACACCCACCTAAAAAGCCTCTGGGATTCTATAACAGTCGTCTGTTGGAGCGTCTCAAAGTTATACTTCTCATCTGCTGCATGTTGATCAATCACAAACAAATCGTCTAGCCCTTCCTTATGTTTCTGCCACCGAATGACTATGAAGCCCAAGTTAAACTGACCGACCACCTGCATCTTATTGAAGTCCGTCTTCGATATGATCCGGGAAAGAGCAGCAGAAGCCTTGGCATCATCCTCCGCGTTTTCCACGTTGGCCGCGTCCAACGCATTGCGGACTCGGAAAGCTGTACTGGAGAGCTCTGAAGGAGTGGGGTTAGCCCGCTCAAGATGCAACCATGTATGGCGGATCTGATTGAGATCACAGCGTAAGGTCACCGGCGGGAGATGATCCTTTTGAGAATGAGTAGTTGGTGCATTCACCTCGGTGTCCACTAAAGTCATACTGACGTCATCTTCTGTGATGTCAATGATGTCAGATATATCCTGATCTGTTGTATGAGAGTCCGGTTCCAGGGCTGGGGGTTCCTCGTGGAGGCGGCGAGCGGGTCCCGGATCCTCAATAACCATCGCATCGTCAGGCAAAACAGCAGTCTTCTTGGACGTTATACTCGAACGGCTCGAGATCGGTCTCGGTCGAATCTTCGAAGTAATGTTCACCACTTCTTCATCTTCCATCAACTGATCTTGCTCTTCAGCACTGTCAATCTCCTCGGATGAACTCCGTCGGGCCTTCATGTCTACTGTGTGAGGACGGTCTTCAGTCTGATCCCCCGAAGTCTTGGCTACTTTGCTTCCAGCCCTCGCATACTGACTCAACGTATACCTAAAACTCGTCCTCCCATCCCGCTCGGCCAAACGCAGCCTCTTTCTCGGACCATCATCTTGAAGATCGCCACCCTCAGACTGTCTACGGTTCCACGAAGCGCCCTTGGTGCTTATAACCGTTTGTGCCGGTGGTGTTTGGCTAGCAGACCGTTTTCTCGTTTCAACGAGCCCCTGTGACGCACGTATACGATCAATGGCACTAACAACTCGCTCGCGGACAGACTCGTCTTCTTGATCGGATCCGTGATGATCGGTCAAACCAGTAGCTTGTCCGTTGTCTCCGCCCTCCTGAACATCGGGTTCAGGAAAAAACAATGGCTGTGCTGCGCCGATCTTTTCGGGTTGTGCAGAGGGTGACTTCAATGCTGTCCGGTCTGTTTCACTGGGCGATGGCCGCTCCGGCTCGGGTTCAAGAAGTAAGTGGGGGTTGCCCATTGTGACAGGCTCATCTTCACGGTCCCTTTCGGCTGATTGGTCTTGTTCTGATTGTGGGTTGATGTCGGCTATAGGGGCAGAACGACTAGTGGTTCTCGTATGTTTTGTTTGGGTGAGCGAAGCTTTTGGCGTAGATGATGGGTGCAGTGTCGATTGCTGTAATGATTGAATACCAATGTCAAACGTCGAGCGAGACGAAGCAAAAGTCTCTTCCAAAGCTGCCTTTGACAATAATGAGAAAACGAATACAGAGATGAACGTCGAGTATACCTTCAAAGCTTGAATGAGATTCTGCTCGCTGTGGAGAAAGATAGTTCGTTTATCGGGACTGACGTTAACATCGCAGGCATCTGCTTTCCAGTTAAGATGAGCTGTACCCCGGAGTGGAAAACTCACGAGTGGGTAAAATGAAGTCTGCTATGATAAAGGGGGACTGGCCAGCGTTAAATGATCGGTATACTTCATTGAATGCCTTTTGGATCTGGGAATGTTCTCAATCAGATGTGGATGCCAGTGGCAACAGATTCACTACCTTTCCAGGGTTACAGGGGCGTCCATTGACGAAAAAAAATTGCCGATCACTTCCTGTGCGGCCTACACCTACAGCAAACTTGGAGATAAGTCCACGGACTTTCACTGTGGTGACGCTGGCGCTGACAAAAGCTGTATTCAGTGCTGCTAGTCGCTAAAAAGAGATAAAAGGAACCACTTCTCCTGGTCAAGACGCCGTAGGACCGTTTTCTCCGTTAAGACATCAAACGAGAGATCAAGATCGACAACGTTATCAAGCCCCTTTGACCCCCACAATGCTGTAACTGACGCTTTGATGGAGGGTGACCCGTCAGTTTTGAGCTGTATGGTTTTGCGGCTAGTTGAGCGTTGAGCATCGCTGCGGGTACAGGAAAGCAGATAACGGACCCTCCCTCAGGATGATTGCTCACAGCCAGTCGCACACCTCTATTCTCGTTTGCGCACGGAACCAGCGCGTATGCATACAGCAAGTTCAGCGCCTTACCAAATTCCCTCTTAGCGTTTCTTTCGAGCTCCTTACGTCGCACTGGCAGGGGCTTGAAGAGAGAGGACACAACAACTGTAGTTCCCCGCTACACATCCCACCATTATGCTAGGAGAGATGTCAAGAAATGTTACATACCTGTCTTGCGACCTTGGAACTGGAGTTTCTAAGTCTCCCATTCCGATCCATTTCAAGTATGGTACCCATCGGGGCCTCGCTAGCGGTAGCAGTCGTAAGGGTGACACTATCACTCAGAGCGCACAGCGAGGACAAGGCTTCGCCGCGAAAACCAAAAGTCAAGACAGTTGAGAGGTCCTCAAAGGCAGCGAGTTTGGATGTGTGGTGTTTCAAGGCTGAGCGGCAATGAAGTGACGACATAGACACCAAAAGAACGAGGCTCACCGACACTTTCATAATCCTTTTTGGCTATGCCGCAACCATTGTCGATAACTTCTATAGATTTGAGCCCATAGTTAAGAAACCGGACCTCTTCTAGATGTCAAGGGCGTACACAGCGTCGATTGAGGACGTGACTCACCAATATTTGTAGCGCGTGCATCAAGACTGTTTTCGACGAGTTCTTTCACTGCCGTCTGTAGGTCGATGACTACTTGACCAGAGGTGATCCTATGCACAGAGTGACTGTCGATTGCTCTGATGGAACCTGGACTTGCTGCGGAATCAAGGGAACTCCCTTCCATGCTACTACAGCAGTATGCTGGTTGGCATAGAACTTTGCGGAATGACAAAAAGTGGATAAAATAAGAAAAAATCGAGATCCTATGATCCTGCCAACTGTGACTAGCTCAAGTTGAAGTTACCCGATTTGGTCCTTACAATTGGGCGTATATAGATTCGGTCACTCGGATGACCTCCCTTTGTCTCTTCCTAAAGAGCTGCTTGAGCGATTTAAAGGCAACCAGTTTACATCCAACGTTCATTGACGACTAAATCAGCTTGGACGATCTCAACTTGGCCTGGCTCAACGTTCAACTCCGACGGCCATCTTATTAGACCTGTGCCCGAGGCACCCCTAGCATTGGCTTTCGGCACCCATCGTGTGGGACTCACACGAGGTAAAGGCGTGTATGTAAGTAACTTGTCACTTTTGCACAGTCTTAATTCTCCGCCGAACTTAACCGAGACTGAATTTTTAGCAGTGTGGCTAGTACCCTACACAGTGTTATAAAGGTATGTAAGCGTCCGTTTCAAATTCTGAATCAAGCGGACTATGACCGACAGTTGACAAAAGCGTTCAAAGCGGATCCACCCATACCTTTTCAAGCTTTGGTGACAAACACGAGGCTCCATTCACTCCGTAGAGCACATACTCATGTCATCCCCGTCGTCACACAATGAGGTTCAGCTCTCCAGAGAGTTCCTCCTTAACCTCCTCGATGCACTCTCCATACTCGTCTTTCAAGAGTTCGGTTGCCAAATCCGCCTATTCATTCATGGTGGCGCAGTGATGATTCTACATCCAAACCTCTCTGAATCCAGTTCTCGACGAACTACCAGAGATATCGACTATATCCGCCGTGCATTCGGGCATGAGTGGCGAAAGCGAGGGGTCAATGACGCTGAAGAGCGCTTACAGCGCTGCATTAACGCCGTTGCCGCTAAGTTTCAGATTGGGTATGTGGATCCTCCTACCTTCATTTCGCACAAGGCATTTATCGATGCATGTACGCCTCATAGCACCGACTGGATGAATGCAGATCCCGACGTTGCCCTCCCATTCGCCCACAAGTGAGTCGCTCGGCAATTGTACTCCGCACATCTCACCTTCTTCCTTCAGCTCACAAGGACTGTTATACGACCCCATCTACCACGACTCCAAGCAGCCGAACAACATTGCTATGAACACTGTCTACCAAAAACAGGGCCTTGTTATCATTAGCGTCACTATGTTTTGGGGTGTTGCTCTCAAGCTCGTACGCTACAAGAAAGAAGACCCTACTGACATCGTAGCCATGTTGCGCCACGGCACGAAACTCAATGGTGTCCAGTGGACGCCCCACATCATGGAGACATGGATTAAGACACTGTGCTGGCCCATGGGCTACAATACCTATAAACCCCAACAAGCGCAGGAACTACGAAACCGTATCCGCGATGCAGTGCACCAGCTGCAAATATCACCTGACAATTCGCCAGAGGAGTCATCCCACATGGCGCTCGTCACATCAGCCGCGCAACCGCATCATCCTGTGTCATTCACCACGCGCTCTCCTACTGCGCTCTCCTCGTTGTATACGATGTCGAGCAGCTTAGCCCCACACTCGTTCTCACAGCCGCCATCGGCGTCCTCGTTACGTTCTCTTTACACATCGTCCCACAGCGTATCGCCTCCCGCATTCATGGGGGAGCGCACGCGCCGGTCATCGATGAATTCCGCACGACACCAAACCTTTTCACCGCCCGTACCATTGGCATTCACCTCATCACAATCATCGCATACTATCTCTCATCCGACCTCACATTCTCACCTGTCCTCGCATTCTCACTCGCCCCCGCATTTTCACCTGTCCTCGCAGTTTCAACCGCCCCCACATTCTCACCTGTCCTCGCACTCTCACTCACCCCCACATTCTCACCTGTCCTCACATCCTCACCCGCCCTCGCACTCGCAAAGCCCATTCCGTATGCCGGAACCCTGGGTAACGCCTTTGCCATTGCTTTTTCAGCCCATGCCATCTGGCACCGCCTTCTGATTCGACTAGCATAAGTACCTAGACTGCAACAGAACTCGGATTTGTATCCGGTGTACCAAGTACCGCACAAGTCATATAACCGCATCCTATTAGTTCTATACGCCATCCTTTAAGTTTTAAACGTTTTCCTGTCCAAAATTTCGTTCTTCGATATTGCTATCTATACACGTCTATATGTTTGAAGTTAACTGATATGTACGATATCGTATTCCACTCTGTAGGATGTAGCTCAGGGTAGCTTAGAGAGTTGCAAAACCAGTCGTTGACGACGTACGCTTAGCTAGATCAGCACCTGCAACGATGGACATCACGGAGAGCGCGTTCATACGTTACATGTAGGAGCACTTTGTTTATGTAAAAACAGTACACCCGTATCTTTTCACGACAAGCCATATATATCTTGCCTCCGCGTGAGAGATGTACTCCCAGGCTCGCAAATTTACTTTGACCCACCACCAACGATTCCATCCGAGTGAGTCAATTTACACGACGTTCCTATGCACATGGCTAATGGATCAAAGATGCTTCCTGCAACCGGACCAGAAATCACTGGAATGAGCATCTTCCAATTGTCATGCACAGGTACGTTATTGCACCAGATCAGTAGTTACAATAATATGAGCGATAGAGATGTATATTTATTCCGGGAATGTGCATATGGCCCAAGCTCAAGCAACTGTAAAGTAATGATACATAAGGAAGATTTTACAAGTCTTAAGAAGTACAACCAAGTTCCAAACTTCACTCTACCATCGGTACATCACTCTTCATACCTATCCGTGATGCTTCTGACATCTGCTAGAGATGTGCTGTACTGTTCTTCAAGGAATGTCAGCATCTTCTTCCGTGTATCGTTGCTCATTTTATTGCTTTGCCGAATGCCTGACGTGGATGTCAGTCGGTGCTTATTTAGACTGAAAGCAGTAAGCAACGTACAGATAAGAGTACGCTCGATGTGAGCATATAATCGGGGGATTGTTTCTTCAAGCGCCCTGTCCCCCTGATTCTTTGCGGAGCGGATAGCCAACATAACTTTATCAACGAGCTCAGAATAGAGCTTTTCAGCATTATGCGGACTGAACTGCTCCTCATTCATATCCTGATATAAGACAACGTCTTCGGCATTCATCACGAGAAGTCAGGATGATCGTGCCCACCTTCATTCGTTGGAACATTCCCTTGCCATGCTCACTTCCAACGTTAACATAATGGGCTTCGAGTTCGTCACGAATAAATCCCTTGAATGATCCACCGAATTCTCTATAGCGAAATAACTGATGTGTAAAGTTGGTGAACGGCGACAAAAGGCCTTACCTTTGCATCTTGGAAATGGCAAACAAATAACGATTTTTTGCAGTATTCAATACATCCTCAGGCTGAATGGCATCACATGCTTTTTGAACGCGTGTTGCAACTTTGTTTTTTACGAGTTGTTTTGTTTCGTCCTCTGTGCGGCAATTAAGGTTAACATTGTCCATTGGCAGTCAGTCCACCAGTACGTACTAATAGAGCCTATCACCACACGATAGTGAAGCAAAATCGCCTCAATCGGAGTGAATACACGATAAGACATGCCACATAATGATCCTTACATTGATGAGCAGCTCTAGTTCTGATTTCCAGGAATCATTGAACAATTCGTGCCATACACTTCTCTGGTGATTCAGATAAACATATCTGCCGTTGTAAAATGACGAACCTTGATACAGTCCCCTCCAACATGTCACATACGAGTTGCTCATTTAGATCGATCGATTGCCATTCGCCCTCTCTGCGCATGAGTGCACGGTAGGTCTGATATCGGCAATCTTCTCCAAGCGACTCGATGATGTTAAGACTGCACTCAGCGGCCTATAAAGTCAATGTTTCGTCAGTGTTGGCCACTGCATCCAAGGATTGTGAGGCAGACATTCTTAGCTTCATCTCGAAGAACGCTCTCCAGATCGTTAATGCTGTCGTCAATTATACCTCCTGAATCCTTGCATGTCTCCTCGACAATCTTTCGCACTCGTCAAGTCCATGTTACCACCAAATGACATCATCTTACTCACATGTTTGAACTTTTTTAACGCTCTTGCTGTTTTTTCATGGGCTGTTGACATCGAATCTTTCCTGATAGAAAGAAGCTTGAAGAAACTATTGACTTCGGCACATAGCAAATCACATTGATGCATATAGGCCTTGATGTCGGCAAGTGCTCTTTTGCGGCCGAAGTCGTGGATGTGTCGACACACTTGTGGTATACCAGTCTATAGAAAAATCAGTCGAAATATTCGCCCGGCCAAAGAAATACATGATACATCTTCTGGGTCAGTAAAAACCACAGGATCTCTGATGTGTTTATCTTCTCGCGAAAGTTGTTTGAAATCTGCGCTCCCAACACAAAAGACGGGTAACGGAGGGGGTCCTTCAGCAAAAATATCCTAACACAAAGAAAGATTTTGACTACAGTGCGCTCACGAAAATTAAGCGAAGTACCTGTTTGCTGATATTGCGGTATACTTGACGATAGATATGGAGAAAGACCTCTTGTACGCGAGCAGCTCGTTGGTGCTGACATGATGCGAATAAGCAGATATAAGTGCAATAAACGAGTATACACACTGCAATGTATGTGTTTTTGGCAGCCTTCTGTGTTTGCAATTGATCGGTAATCTCAGCCCTCTGTGATATTGTAATTTCGGTCAACCAGTTGATGATTTTGACATGAATCGACACAAACCTTCTGTTGATTAGTCACCAATTTTTGGAATGCAGTTATATCATAACGGTCAGTTGCAGTCTTACTGGTATCCTCGAGCTCTTTTAGGCTGTTGCTGAGTCTGTTAATGGTCTACTGCGTATTTGAATGGCATGTTGGCATCAACTTGGAATTGGCTCACGCACCTGAGACATTTCCTGGATTACACGGCGTTGCTGTGCATCGAGATGATGTAATTGGTCCTCGTGAATTAGCACCTGGTAATTGACAAATATGTGGTAGATATATCAAAAAAACAGGAGTGGTGACGTACATCTGCCCCAGTGAGGACTACCAAAAGTGATTCCATGCTTCCGTCTACCCTAATCATTGTTCGCAAGCTATGATTATTGGCTGATGCGTGGGCGCCAAATTTCATAAAGTTCTTCAGGACTCACAACTTCGCAAGATAATCACACATGGCCTAACAATAAAATTGGGCCATCAAGTCAGACCAGTATTTTCATCAAGTTTACCTGTTCATCAACTGCCCGCTTGATGTCTGCGACTGAGACACATGATTAGCGCGAGACAAGGGCCCTCCCGAAACAGCAAACCTAATACAACAACCTCAGCAGTTTTGAGGTATTCCTCGGTCCGATTGGTTCTGCCACGAGCATTTTGTCAGTGTGACAAAATTCTGAGAGCCGCTTATCTAACCTCGTTTTATTTGCATCCCCATAGCCAGGGACGTCTACGAGCGCAACCGCACGGGATGCAAGTACCTCGAATGCTCCGTAGATACGAACGCTATGACAAAAGTAAGTAAGCCGAGTAGGTCAAATTATTGCAGAGATTTCTACCTGTCTACTAGATGCCAGACAGATGACTCCGGCTAGAGAACCTCGAATAGTCAGCACAGTCATCTGCGATTTAAAATTTGTGACGCACTGGCTCCCCCGCTACAGTGTTTGAGTACGAAGTCAGATACGGCCGAAGCTGTACATGGTTCAGACACATAATAAACTGTTATTTCCACTTGCAACTTTCCTGTAATTCCAGTTTGTCGAAGCCGACGCCACTTATCGAAATTTCGGTTCCGAGCTTGGACGCTACAGCATCGTGCTCAAGAAGTAAATATATATCTTGTTCAGGCGGGGGGAACGATAGGGCACGAAGGCTGCGGCAAGAATTGAGTTGTGAAGATCGATTTTCTTATCGAAGTCAGTATTTACTGGGGATACACCTGTTGGTAGTATCGGCAGCAACATCAGCACCCAGGTGATAGCACCGAAAACATGACTGGGACTTTCCTCTTTCAACATTCCCCATGCATTCATCGCAGGCTCGCTATCCTCGTGAATACCACGCCCGGTATTCGAAGAGCCTCTGTCACGGTATGATTTTCTGCGCGCAAAGATAAGCTGATGGTAAAAATCTCCAGAGAAAATCACACGCACATATCGTCCAGCATGTTCGCTAGAGTCTGTGGAATACCGCACGGTTCACATGTATGTCTGGTACAACAGAACGTCGTGAATACTTACCTTTTCCCAGTCATCATAATCAATGAATTTGATGCTTGCCCTCCACTCTGAACGAGGCAAATTTTCGTAGATTACTTCCGTCTGAACAGATGTGCATGCTCTGCACGGTAAAAGTGTCAGAAGCGAGATGGGGACGAAGATGGATTTGTTTCTGACCCCTGTCAGTTCAAATTAGTTCCACGCTCGACGCGGTTGATTATAACAACCATGCACTCACGTCAGCTCCCGTCGATAATACGGGCGCACCTAATATCGCATTAATGGCAGTGCTCTTGCCGACTCCAGTCCTTCCAATGAATGCAAACTTCCTTGGCTGAAGTTTACTATTACCGAGTTTCTGTGTCTCTACCTTCCATCGCCCCAGGTCCTTGTCATAATCCTCCCGTCCATTGGAACCAACTCTCTCAAGTTCCTGCTCCAATTTCTGATTTGCAGCACATATTATTTCGTAACATCTGAGGACATCATCTGGCAGTAGGTGGGTAGTCTCGGTTGGGTGATCTTTAAGTTGTTCCAGGTCTGACATCAGGTGTTGAGAGTGGGAACCAGGTGCTTCTCATCCGCATTATTGCCCAAGACCTCGTGTCATGCACATGGTTTTCCACGACACACCATGTTATTGCATGATGACGATTTGGCAAAGACACAAAACAAAGGCCAAATTCTCCTCATCGACGATACTGTACACTCCGAAACCCCGAATTAAGTGCCAAGCCAACCCGCGGTGGCCCACCACCATTCACTGTGGACTGTTGGTGGCACTCGTTAAGCTTATCCTACCAGGTAGAGGAGTCTGGACGTGAGCCGTCGATTGTCATCCTCAATCTCCGAGAAGGCCAGCCGGATCAGCCAGAGATGGACACCCATTTTACGATTAACTTCAACACCATGCGTTTTCATGATAAATTTCAGGACCATCGTTTCCCGGTACCCCAGGAGATCCTGTCTGTCCTAGGACAACTTAGAGAATATGTGAGGAACATTGTCCGAAGCAGATGGGAAGCGAAAGAAGCGCAAAAACGTGAGACAGCCCGTCGCCTTGAGAAAGAGCGAGAAGAACAACGAAATCGAGTCCAGGCGAGTAAAGTACATTTTGCAAGTGTGTTGCAAAATTCATTCCTTCTTGAACACAGGCCTTTTGTCGCTGTCTTGTTGAGAAAGGTTTGATCAGTGAAGATGATGCGAGTCACTTCTCCGGTGACAGTCTGCATTGTCCCGTCTGTTCAGCGAGGCAGACATCGTGCAATATGTGCAGAGTCATCTCATGCTCCAATTGTAACTGTGAAGTCTCCTCTGCCATCCCCGTCATACAGTGTTCCGATCATCCTAACGCGAAGTTCTGTACTTCATGTTTGGAACGTCCAGGCTCTCTGCCTCGTCTGGGCAAGTGTCCCACATGCGCACGCTGGTTCTGTTCAAAAGAGCTTCAATGGTGCATCGGGCGCCCAGTTTCTAATGACGGCACCGGACTTTCCTCACCGAATATTGATTTAACCCGATTACACTCAGCGCGTCCCCTGTCTTGCCAGTCTATTGCCTGTATAAATGATAGTCGAGAGAGTGGAAAGAATGGGCGTCGCTGCTGCAATACTCATTGTTGGTCTCGGCTGGGCACCACAACGTGTCCTGATTGCATCACACAGGATAGCTTCGCCTGTCCCTGCGGTCGATACTGGACTTGCGGTGGCTGCAAGTCACAGGCTTCTTCTGCTAGTGGGATTCTCACATGCCCCGGGTGCCACCGGCATTTCTGTTCATCGTGCTCATACATTGCGGCCTGCGAGCTGTGCGGAAATGTGGAGCCCTGTCGCGACTGCATCAAGGATGGAAAGAGCGTAGAAATGGAGCACACCGTGTATATGTGCCAGAGCTGCAGAAGTCTCCTGTGCGAGAAATGCACTGATATTGAGGAGAAATTTTGCTGGAGATGTGACCGAAGCGTTTGCAAGCTCTGCGCACACGAAGATGACAGTGATTATCCTGATATTGTCTGCAACGAGTGCGGAAGTATGAGTGATGAGTATGACGATGACGATATGGCTTATGGTGACCTTTAATGTGCCCCCGTTCACGGACTACCTTGTATTATAATCCGTGTTTAATGTTACTGTAAATCTCGCTAGTACCTGTCTGTGACAAAGAGCAGTACAGGAAGTCCTTCATCAAACCATCCATATATCTTCAAGAAAACCGGGTAAGTTGCCACGATCCACTCCCTACATGATCATTCTCTACCATGACTCCAATTGCGCTAGCCCGAAATTTCGTGCTATCATTCACAACAAGGCACAGGCACGTCCCTCTACGAGTCGGACTTTCAACTGGCAATCTATGCAGTCGCGCCTGTCCTGTTCCGCTGTGGGTAGGTACCACTGTTGTTCCACCCTGGGAGCGCGCCACGACCAACTGCGCATTTCTCCAAACCTTGGCTGCCATGGATGCATAAGCCGTGAACCCGTATCCTCTCGTATATGGCTTTTCTCCCACCAAATCATCCACCGAGTCATCCAATTTGATTGTGCCGTCGATGTATCCAGTCGCCAGGTTAAGCAACGCCTGAGCCAGCCCAGATCCTCCCACAGCTCTATCCACGTCGCACCCTAATCCGACGTGCAGGCCAAATAATAAGTTCCATATGTCTTCGGGGCAGTATGACAGCTTTTGGAGCATGTTGATAATTCCCTTGATGTCTTCCGGTTGTGATTGCCATCTTATTACTCCAGTCGACCGATGCGGAATGCGAACGCCAAGGGCTCCTCCACGGACAACTGACATCTGAGGAACTTCTACGGAACGCCACTCCGTGATAGCACTGGCAGGGGTTGCTAACACAGTTGCAGGTACAGGCACCATGGACATTCCTTCACATGCGGCGTCTCTGTCGACTAAGTGGCTCCATCTCAGCCAGGAGAAGTCCCCCTTCAAACTGGCTTTGTCCACAAGTTCAGCGAACACTTTCTCCACTGGAAGCCGATAGTCAGGTGTAATTGTCTCTAGACGACACACGCCAAGCAGAGAGTACGCCATGTCATGAGTGACAGTAGACTGGCGCCTCCACACGCTCGATATAGCTGCCCCGAGCGGCATGCATGCCTTCATCGCGTCCGACATAGAATGAACCGAGTCCCAAAAACTAGATAATTGCCCCAGCAAATTGTCTTTCTTCTGTGTCGCTGCCCGTCGACTAATCGGGCGAGAGATTTTGAGGACGTCAGAAATGGGAATAGTTTCCTCGTTCTCTCCCACCAGAAACGTTATGCGGTTCAGAACTGCCTCTTGGAACGTCCAGACACGCGTCCACCACCTGCTGCTGAATAGCCTGTGCAGCGCCTTGTTTGAGCCTTGGGAAGCGAACATGTACATCCCGTGCGTATCTCCAGCCTGTTCGAGTGCACGGAACCCATCCAAATCTATCATTCCGGTTCCATGCTCCACGACTCTGCTTATCGTTTGGTCTATCTCCGGTACAAGGCATAACACTGCTATAGCCCCGCGGTATATATCCGCCATCTTCGCAAGCTCAACCATCTTTATTGGTTCGTTGTCCTGGTCAATGCAGATCGCATCGATCCACAGAGCATATGAGGTGTATTTCGAGAGCCGGTCGGCGATGTGTAATGCTTGCTCTGTGACCCGCCTTCCTTCCCATTCTTTGAAAGAAGGATTGGGGTCCCACACGTAACTAATTGCGATATAAGGTTCAGCGGAGGATGCGGAGTCGACCAGCTTTCCGTCCCGGATGCAGTTCCCGGGTCGCGCATAGGTCGTAGCGGCCTTGGCGTTGTTCCTAGGATTGTCTTCAACTTGGATTAGCTTCACTACAGGTTTGTGCCATACTCAGCGTTTTTAATGATCCGATGCCATGTCATGTATGTTGTCTTTCGCTCTGTCACGTTCTTGTGGTCTCTAAAGTATGCTCTGCACCTAGGAATGGAGGCATTGTGCTCCATCATCATCCCGCATCGATGGCGCTCGTTTTCGCACTTCCAAATGTTCATTTGAGAGATTCTGGGATAGGTTGGCCATCTGCGTGGCATTTGATCAAATATTCTCGAATCAAGCGCCGGCGGAGTCACAATGGTACGCAAACAACCGATAATTGCTCTCACCGTCTTGTGCCTCAAGGCAGGTCCATAGAGTGGATTCGAGAACCAGCCTACATAGTAAGCACTTGAAGCAATAGCAAATTGTCTTCGATGAATGCGAAACGGTTTGTAGTAGCAAGTATTCTGATGTCCTACAGAGGATCTCAAGAAGAAGTTGCCGAAATTGTGTCGATGTATTTCAATGCAATATATCTGCTTGAGTGACGCTTCGTTTCATAGGACATGCAAACCACTGCGCCCACAGTTATCATCGTCGGTAATTTTTCCGAAGGCTCTTCGCCGAGTCGGCACTGGTGGAGAACAGTGTTTTCGATCTCGACATGAAGTATGGTATTATAAAAGTAAACGTCCAGAGGTGCACGGATCGCTTGTGACTGATAAAATACGGACAGGGTCAAAGTCAACCAGGTGTATATATTGTCCTTGTACGCACTTCCTAATTAGTGGAGCAAATTCTTTTTCTTCAAGTCCTCCGTTTGAACACCAGGGGGAGGCGGGTCGGTCTAACAGCCATCAACATTTCATCTTACAAGAGTAGAAGTCCAACATACGCCAGAGTAATTATACTTCGTGCGTCAAGTACTCGCGCCTTGCGCTGTTCATATGTTTCGCCAGCAAATTGCGGCTCGTCCTTGATTGAGATTGTATATTGTGAAATCAACATGGTGAGAACAGCTGCTCCTTCGGTTTCCGAGAACCTGAACAAAATCAAATGGATGACCAAGAATAATGTTAATATGCTCACTTTCTTCCTACACACCCTCTGTAACCTTCATTGAAATGTGCGTCTTCGAGTTCGTTCCGAGCAAGATGTTAGAGTGACACTTACCACTACTGAAGGGAAGGAATGCATCTCGATTCCAGTCACCCAGAAATCGTTCGGGCTTGAACGTGAATGGATCTTCCCAGTACTTAGCTGCAATCATGCGCTGGATTGTTATTGCATCTCTTTGCATGTGGAAAGTGACTTACGGTTGTAGTGAAGCCCAGGTACATCTAGTGTAAGCTCTAATCCCTTAGGCACAACAACCGTTTTCATCGTCCCGTTCGCATCTGTGAGGGTGAAGGTCGTGTCTTCGATACTTAACTTTGGTACAACGGAAACCTGCACCTAAAGTTAACAGTCGTTCTGAGATATTTGCTTCACCAACATACAGGGGGGAACATCCGCAGTGCCTCGTTGAATACGCTGTCACGATGTCAGCACATAACCCAGATGATTTAGAGGCAGACTGACGCAGAAGAGTAGGCCAATGACGGCATATCATTATAAGTCTGTCAAAAACATCGTGAGTCGGGTTGTATAGCTGTCTGTAATTCAGGGGTACATACAGGAATTCTTCCATCAGGTAGTACACGCTTGATATGTTGGTACATTTCTTCCTGCTTATCAGGATGTAAAGCCAATAATGCGAACGCAAAAGAAAGTGTATGGGCTGTCGTCTGTGAGTTGTCAGCGCGAGGCAAAAGTGTGAAACAGATGTAATACCTCGTGTCCCGCGACCAAAAATATGAAGATATTTCCTGTCGGACAATGTTGTCATGCTCTGTTACAGTCTGAAGTTGTAGCTTACCAATTAATTCGCTGTCGCTCAGCTTTACTTCATCCTTCGATAAATTATCATCGTCATTTGCCGATAACAAACTAGATAATAGGTCGTGATGATACTCCTGCTGGGATACTTGTCGTTCATGGATCATCTCTGTAAGGTATCGCTACAAAAAAAAAAGGTCATCAAAATGTCAAGTATTCAGTCCGATTATGGTACAGACATGCAACTCATCGAAGGCAAGCCTTGCACGTCTGAAACGTTTAGTAAGTCCCATGGCCCATCTCGGTACTAATAATGCAAGGGTGAGATCCTGTGTCACTGTGTGAATAGCATCTTTGAAAGTAAGTTGGTGTCCGAGTGGGACCACAGCGTCCTCCTTCCAGGATATAGGACGACCAAAGCCTATGACGAGTTCAACATATCATCAACTATCTATTCATAAGGCCAATCGTGCTCACCTGCAGCCCCGATCACGAACAGAGCAATCTAGTGATCCAAATAAAACTAATTAAAAGAAACGCGGAGGTGGCGTCAAGAACTCTCACTGGCAAAGTCAAATCTACGGAGTGATTGACAACAACTTCTTCTTGTCCAGCCCACATTGTATCAAAAAGGTCGAGCATGATCTGTATCGTTGCATCCCAGACCAATATATTATTCCTCTTCAAGTTATAAGTTAGGAAGCTCTAATGTGCGCATGGACTTCAGTTACTAACTTCTGAAAACGCAGGTGCGACGATCTTGCGGTAACGCTTCCATTGGTCGCCTTCGGAAGCAACAATGTTTTCGCCAAAGAATGTCAATATGGTGTATCGGCCAAGAGGTTTGGGAAAGCGTCCTCCACGAGACCAAACAATGTGCTTTGGTACGATTGATCAATTTGTAGGCTTCTAAAATCGCAATAGACGGTCATACCTTGATCACATCGACGTCTGCTATGAACAGCGATCCCGCTGCTTTCGGCCACCATGCCACCTGAAACTATTGACCTCTGCTACACCACGGTATTGCAAGCAACTTACAGTGGAAATTATGTCAAGGCCCTTCTCCGCAAAGGCTTCCGAAATGTACGTTAACTAGGGAAAATAAATTAAGGTGGAAAATGTTCGACGTACGGGCATGCTTCGACAACCAAGAATGATCATGACCTAAGTTCAACAAGGGGATCGGGGGAAACATGTGTCCGAGCACACTTGAGTGACTGATCATTGTTCTGTATCCTGGAAGGTGACTATGCAAAATTAGTTCTATGTAAGTAATTCGATAAAGCCGGTTAACTCACTGAATGCTTGCCAGCAGTCGACGGAAATCTAAGAAGAGCTGGAAGGCGCGCAGTGCACACACCAAACCAACTAATGTTGCAAGGGTCTCCAACGAAAAACCAGTGACGATCATGCTTGCAGGGGCGAACGTGTCGTGAGTACACAATACACTATTCTGCACTCTATCATATAGAGATTGCCCCCTATGTACGGCGGGAAAGTCACTGCACACCGCAGCTCGGACCGAACTCCCTTCCGACGGATGGACGGAAGAAGTCCGAATAGACCCTAGTGGTTAGACGAATCATGGCCAGCCGCAGACTGTAAGCACTTTGGCAGATGTCACCGGAATATATGTGAATTGATTCCGTCGTCAGGTGGATCGGGATATCGAGTGACCCAGAAATGGGCAGCAGGTTGCATGAGGACTAAATTAGTACAATAAGATTACATTGGTCGCGTCAACTATTCTCCAATTTCCAACACGACCCACTTACGTGTAAGGAAATCAAAGATGCTCCCGAAAATCACTGTCATGAGTGTACAGCTGAGGGTAACGGCGATATAGGGCATGCCGAAATCTAGCGAGGTCGACAAAGAGGCTCGGGTATAAATCCTCTCCTAATCACAACTCAAAGAGGTATCGTGAGACGATCGAGGGAGCGGGAAAAACAGCCTCTGGTGGATCCCAGCCTCTCATCGCATCAGGTGGTGTTCGGGGTATTTTAAGAAGGCTTTGATAACCTCCACGGATATTTTGAGCGTGTCTATGGTGGATTTTAGTGGTGCCGAAGTCCGGTTCGGTTCTTAGGCCTCTAAATGCGAACGCCGAACTGGACCATCGGTCGCGTTCAGGCAAGGAGGACGAACGCTGGACCGGACGCTGATGAACGTGTTTACAAGCGTTCGGTTCGAGTTCAGAATGCGTTCGAACGCTCGAACGCTACATATAAATTGACAAAAATTGCAAGAAATACATGAACAGTAAATGAGTAGCTAAATTTCGTCCATGGCAGAGTGTTCGTGAGCAGCAGCAAACTCAGCTTGAACCGTTGCGGAAATATGGCCTTGACGGTACCCACTTTTCAACAGCTGTAGGGCCTCAAATGTTGCTGGCAACAACTGATTATGGCGTGTGGTCCCAGTGATGCCACCACTCGAAAACGCTCGTTCAGATGCGATGGCAGAGCCTTGAATAGCGAGGTAATCCTTTGCAATGCGAGAGATGGTGGGATATTGAATGGAATGGTGCTAAAGGCATTTTAAGTCAACTTGCAAGGAAACACGATGCGAAAAAACTCACGCCCCACCACGCCACTATATTCTCAACATCTTCTAATGGGGCAGCAAGGTACTCGTCGAGCTCCTGGTGAGGTCTTCGATTTGCGGTGTCATTTGCGACACGAGTTTTGACAGCATCGCGCATCCAGCTATGGCCGTATGACCCCTGGCGAGCAAGCAAGGAAGGAGCCACAGCAGCTGGCTCTGCAGTGGCAGGCGAGACATTGCAATGATAATATTTGTCGAAAACCTTCCACAAGCTTCTCATGCCCTCGTCAAAGTCGCGAGGCTCCCATTTACCCTTCGCGTATGCCACCTTATAGTTAGGATTGAGCGCTACATTGTACATTAGATAGGGCATCATAATAAATAAAATACATACTGAGGCAAACGAAATAAACATCAGTTTCGTCGATTTTGTGGTACCATTTGCGAATATTGTCGAGGCCAGAGTTGATCGCGGATGAAAAGTCGTCAAACTTTGACGAACCAGCCATGTTTTGCCAAGTTTGTTGGAGATACTCGAGGACTGGAATCGCGCGCCATACGGTAGGTTCGTGAGTCGCCGAAAACGATTGTTGAGCATTGGCAGGTTCCTGGTTATACAGTAGGTTAATACAACATTTGAGACTCGACTGGACACTCGCACATACCTGAAGCACATCATGCATCAGTTCCAACTTCTTCCATTCTTCGGCTGAAAGCTTGAACACTCCATATGACTTGCCCTGCAACTTTGGGACTTCATCACTGTCATCCGCCAGTTGTATGAATCTATTCACCCCCTGCCAGCAGATAAAATTGAGTTAGTATTGTGCATAGGGATGGTAATAGAAACCAACTGACTTTGCGTAGCTTAAGGGTGCGCTCCAACATACCAAAGAGCAAGGCCCATCGCGTGCGAATCCATTTCAAAAGCTCCAGCTTCGGCTCGTTGACCTCGACACAGCACTGTTGGAAGAAGGTGCGTGCTTGGGGAGAT